TTTTTGTGACAAATGAGGACATACATTTGTATAATGACAAGGGTATGACATAGGTATTACAAGGAGAAGGTGACTTTTCAGGACATTATCCCATGTCCCCACTTTTCAAAACGCTTATAAATCACACAGAATGGAGTGTATTGAAAATCTGAAATAGCACAAAGTTTCCTGTGAGGGGTAGGTTTAGGGGTAGGGTTGGTGTAGGGCAATAGAATATACGGTCTGGACAGTATAAAAACCATTACGCCTATGGAATGTCCCCACTTTTCACAAAAACAAACCTGTGTGTGTGTACCCGTTTTTCTATTCTGGTGGGGACTTAAACCTGAATACACACAGACTCATGGGGACTTGTGTCACGGTGGGGACCTAAATTGTGTTCCCCACGGGTACAAAAGCATATAAATCATACAGAATGAAGTTTTTTGAAAATCTAAAAATGCACAAAGTTTCCTGTGAGGGGTAGGTTTAGGGGTAAGGTTGGTGTAGGGCAATAGAATATATGGTCTGTACAGTAGAAAAACCATTACGCCGATGGAGCGTCCCCACAAGGATAGCAAACCAGACATGTGTGTGTGTGTTTCTTAGATGCATGTAATTGGGACATCATCAAGTCTTTAACAGATGATTGCAACCGATAAGTAATCTGTATTTTATTTCCAGACTTCAGCAGCGGACATACTTACTGGATAACAGTGATCTATACAGTGTATTGGACTTGCAGCAGGTATTGGTTGCTATTTCTTGTTTAGAATTTGAACTAGGGGTGTGCGACACGTATTATCTATGAAAATATCATAATTATTGATTTAACGATTTTTGCCTAATATGAGCATGATTGCAGATCTCATATTGATTGTATAAAACGGTTCAATGAACAATAGGTAACATTTTGAGTTACATTTTAGACAGTGTTGTCAATATTTAGTTTTTTGCTTTATATTGTCAATGAAAATTTCCAAATGAAACCACAGCAGAACTGTTTTGCGTCTCCAAGCAAGTAACCTATAGCGGTGCTTTGTTACAAGGAATCCACATTTTGAATGTTTAATGAATGATTCAGTGACCAAATGAATCAGCCATTTGAATGAATCTTATGAATGATTCACTCAACTCATTTGCCGCCACCTACTGGTGGTTTTAGTTTCATATTTAGTTTTTTCAACAACAAAAAAGTGGCACATAAAGTTCATTTCTGTCACTGGTGTGAACGAACCACACTCTCAGAATAAAAGGTACAAAAGTTGTCACTGGGGCAGTACCTTAAAGGGTGCATATTGGTACCTTATAGATACATATTAGTACGTAATGTGGACCTTTTGAAAAGGTACAAAACCAGCGACAACTTCTGTACCCTTTTTGTGAGAGTGCACTGCACAGAATATGAAGAATAGGAATATCGCACAATATCGCACATCTCTCATTTGATCAAACCCCTAACCCTTGTTGAAGAAAAGAGTGCTCTTAAGTGATCAGACTTATGATTTTTGCACACAGATAGCAGACGAGCACTACGAATCTTACCTGCAGTCTCTGATCCAGTTTGGGTCCAAGCACGTGCTCAACTGTGACCTTTGCACCCAAAGGGGCTTTATATGTCAGATCTGCAACACCGACAACATCATCTTCCCTTTTCAGTTTGACAGCACCACCAGGTACTGCTATATAACACACATTAGACATCAAACATAAAACCCCACACATCCCCTTTCACTCTAGACCATTTGTTTCTGATTGCTGATTGAGTTATGTGATTCAGTCACATGCAGCACAGTATTATGATAAATATCAAGAGGATGATGTGTGTTTTCTGTCTCTCAGGTGTAACGTCTGCAAGACGGTGTTTCATTCCTCCTGTAAGGCGAAGTGTCCGGTCTGTCCACGCTGCGTTCGCATACAAAAGTATATGGAGAGGGACTTGGACGACTGAGTTAGCTGTTAGTTAAAAACAGGTTTTGAAGAAAACGATCATGCACCAAGCTCAAAATCCAGGGTTAGTACTATATTATTGTAATACTCAAATCTATAAGTTATTTTCTGAGAACTGGAAGCATTTGATCACACTAAGCGTTTAATTGGACTCATCTGAAGCTCGACTTTAAGTGCACTTATTTACACATTCATATGTACATATTTACTCACATCAGCACTCCCGTGTATGTTCTTTCATGAAATGTCAATAATGCCAAACAAACACTTTTCTGCAATGGTGGGAGAACTGTTATTAAAGCTATGATTTTTGCTTTTCAACTTTATGGAAACACACTTGACGCTCAATCAGTTCTCTGGGCTTCACATGTTATTCTGCAGGTTAGTGTTCAGAATCATAAGTCTTCATTTTTTTGCATAGTCATTATTGATTGTCAAGCCAAGGAAGTCGTATTTATGAAACTTAAGGCACTTAAATGCCAAGGATCTTATAACTCTTGTTTTTATAGTACTATTTTTACATCTGAATGTCACATGCCAAGTTTTATATGAAGCATTACGAGTTTGCATATTAATTGTTGTATATGCAGGAATCGTATGCATTTAATAAGAGGATGGTTATTGAAATTCTGAAATGTACCAGCACTTACAACCTCCTTTAACAGGTCATTTTTGTACAATACTGTGCCTTTATTTTCGTGTTTCATAGTAGCATCCTTCATCACTCAAATTGGTTGTGCCAAAAATGTAACTATTACAAGCCAATGTGAATTATTAATGTTTGTCACTAAATCAGTTATGTGCAAAGAAACCGAATTGCTGACATTCATCTGGATGATACAAAGGATGAACACTTTATATATTAGCTTCCTGGTTTAATGAATGTCTCTTTTTTCTTCTTGAGTTTTTCTTTTTTTTGTACCACTTTTTTAACAATGCTGTTTTCCTGATATTTTTATGACAAGTTGAATATATCACCTGTTGAAGGAAAATCCCACATGACTTTTTGTCTTTCTTATCTCTTGTTTAGCCACTAGAGGCAGTGGCACCTAAGCAAAAGTCTTGACATGGATTGACAGGCGGATTGCTTTCTGCAGTCATGAATGCTGAAGCTTTCCTCTGATCTATAAGCAAAAGTGATTCATATTCCTCATTTGATTAACTTTTTAAAATATTATAATTCTTCAAAATAAATGCCTCATACATAATAATGCATGTGCATGTAGACATTTAGCAGATGCTTTTACCCAAAGCATTGATAAAAGCAACAATATTTACTGTGCAGACAACACTAAAATGTGTGATTGCTGAATTTATTCTAAAATAGTATGTTTGTGCTAATGGAGTTTAACACAAAACAGCGTTTCCTAGAATCACGGAGCAGCTATAGAAGCATGGATGCATATTTTTGAGAGAACTTGTCATTCCTCTCAAACCACATCGCAGTGTGTTTGTCTCTGACTGGTTCTTCCTGTGTTCTTAACTCCTGGCACTCGTTTTGTCTGTGTTTGTTTCTGTCTGTCTTTTGAATGTACCAAACAAACTCCTTGCTATCTAAAAATATGAGCATGTATTTGTGAGCATGTAGGAATGAGTGCAACCAGTCAGTGTAACAACTGAACACTGGATCAGATTTGAATGATATATTTTTACTTTTTGCAAGACATTAGAGGCATAATTTTTTTTTTTTTTTAATGCACCGTTCAATTTTGATTCCATAACGTGTCTTCTTTCAGATTAGTGTAAAGAAAATATCCAAAATACACATTTAAGTGTTTACTTTATTGCTCTTTATCTAGTTGCATCTTTAGATTTTAATTACAATACATATAGGCAGTTTTCTCAAAATAGGATTTTTCCCCTGTACCAATTCAGAAATCTATGGAAGCCAGTTTCCGCCATGGAATAAAAACATATTTCACAATTCTGAGGGGGGGAAAAAAATTACAGGAAAATTACAGAAAAGTCCGAATTACTGGATATAAGTATTATATCCAGTTTTATTATTTAGTATTATTTTTTCTTGCAATTTCAAGTTTACATTTCACAATTCAGACTTTTTTTCCTCTGATTTCAGAGTTTACATCTCGCGCTTCTGTTTTTCTTGAGTAAAAAAATAAAAATATTAAGAAAAAAAATTAAAAAAGGTATTTGCAACTTTTTATCTCTCAGTTCTGACTTTTTCTCACAATTCAGGCTTTCTTGCAATTCTGAGGGGGAAAAAAATCTGGATTTCAAGAAATAAATTGACTTTTTTTCTCTGAATTCTGATTTTACATCTTCAATTTTTATGCCAGAAAATAAAAAGGTAATTGCAACTTTTTATCTAACTGACTTTTTTCTTGTAGTTTATATCTTGCACTTTTGACTTTACATCTCACAGTTCTGATAATTTTTTCTGAATTAGTTTTTTCCACAATTGCGTGAAAATTTTTTTTTTTTATTCCATGGCAGAAACAGTCTTTGATAGAAATCTCCATTTCCGTACCACTTACATACACCAGACTTTCCAGTTTTATTCCTATCCATATTGTGAAGGTTCATATATCATTCACCTGATTTATATGACATTTTATTTGATACTTTTCCCTGGCTGCTGACAGTATTTTCTGATTTATGGAGTGATAAAAAGTTAAACCCTTTAAAATGAAACAAGAATTTTCAACCTGACTTTATCCAATGTTCCAACGATATCTCTTAGTCTATATTTCTGGCCTCCACATGAATATGTGGATGCCTTTTTCCTCAATGATAACCTATTCTACCTCAACCCCACCCCATACTTCAAAATCATACAGTATTCAAAAGAGGGCATGTCTTTTCCTGTTGAGCTGGACCACGTTATCAGCGCAGCGCAGACAGACTGAAGGAAAACCAACAACAGAATAACACCATTGACTGAGAGGTGACCCTAAAAACCTAAAAGCTTCCATAAAGTCAGAGTGTTCTCACCGACACCCTGAAGTCTGTGAACTCTCGAAACATGAGTCAATTAGCTGAAATAGCCTTGAATGAAGCACGCGAAGAACAGCCCTTCAGTTTATACTCGCGCACGCCTCTGTCAGTGTTGCCATGTCAATGATTAAAAACACCAGTGCGGACAAGTTCTCCTCACCGTTTCTCTTTTTTATTTTCTGCTTCCTCATTTCTCAGTTTTTCCAGCTATGGACACTTGTTCCTTCGCTTGGTGACTGACTGTAAATACACTGATGTTTTAATATGCAGTTTTATTGTGTGTGTCTTGTATCAGGACTGATGTTTGTACGCTCACACACCCCTCCGGCTCTCTTCCACTCAAACCTGTCGAGCAACACAAGTTGTGAGAAGTTTTCTTCTCACACTGACACAACAGCACTACAGGTCTACAGTATGGAGCCGAGACGTCTCGGATTAAACCAGAAACAAACAGAGATGCTAGTTTGTTACTGAAGTGAATTATTCCCAGTGCTCAGAGAAAAGAAGGAGTCGAGGGATTATTCTGTTCTCTGATGGTAAGTTCATCTCACTGTTTAAATCTCTGCGCTTCAGAATCTGTGCCGCACTTTGTCCAGATGTGCATGTACTATTGGTTTGTTATGAACAACTGTCAACAGTTCATAAAGTTATATCGTTTTTTTGCTATCTGTATGTTGGCAAAATCTTAAAAAAAAAAAAAAAAAAAAAGTATATATGTATTGTGTGTGTGTGTGTCTCTCTCCGACACACCTGTGGTTCCTCTGGTTTGTCTGCATTCCTCTGTTTCACAAATATTTTGTGTTGTGAATATGATTGTCCCACCCCACATTTGTACACCAATAAACAATATATTTTAACATATACTTCTTATAAATATAAGTAAGTAGATTTCAGGTTGAATGCTCTGAAAGAGCCCTTATTTTCTTGCTTTTTTATTCTAAATGTGCACTACCAATTAGTGACACACTGACTTAATATACAGTACATATACATATTATCTATGGCTAATAATAATCTCAAACTAGAATGTTACATTTTCTTGATGCTAGGATGTTGTGGGTGGTTGCTAGGGCATTGATATGTGGTTGCTAATGTATTCGGAGTTGTTACTAGGGTGTTTTGGGTAGTTGGTCACTTAGTGGCATAAGCTAAAAGAGCACCCTGAGTCTCTTTGTTTTGTTTTGATTTGTTTTTGTATTTGTTTTCTTTTATATTCTTGTCCGTTACGCCTGTATATAAATATTTGTTTTGTTTCGTTTTTTTTTTAATTCTTGTATATATATACTGTATGTATATGTGTGTGTGTGTGTGTGTGTGTGTGTGTATATATATATATATATATATATATAATGTGTGTGTGTGTATGTATATATTTATGTATATGTGTGTGTATATATATATGTGTGTGTGTGTTGTGTGTGTGTGTGTATTTTGTATTCTTTAATATTCTTATCCCTATAGTAAGTCTGTACATTTGTTTTTTTTGTCTGGACTTTAGATTGGAGTTATTTCAAACAAATTACCTATTGTTTTTTTTTCTCCTTTATCTTCAGATCTCATGATGACTGTATACGAACCCTGATTTCCTGTTTGCACTGAACACCAGCCACATAACAGGTTTGGGATCAGCAGAAGTGGGCCACTATGTCACTTTCACAGCAGGTTCTGGTGAATTATGAATACAAATACACTGCTCGAGACGGCAGAGAGGTGTCCATCAAACCCAACGAGCACTACATCCTAGTAGCCAAGACCAATGAAACCTGGTGGCACGTTCGGAGGGATGGGACTGACAAGCCTTTTTTCATCCCAGCAACCTATGTGACCGAACTCCCACCTGAGACCAACCAAACTTCACTGGACCCTTCTGTAGAGTTTAGTGGAAGTGAATCCCTCAAGTCTAACTCAGAGACAGCTCCTGATAGTCTTCCCACCATCACTGAGCCCGCTGAGGTCACGCTTCGAGTCCCAGCCTCTATAAAACAAGACACGGAGAAAGACGGTCATAGAATATCAACATATATTATTCCAAAGGAATTCTTTGAACTGAAGGGTTTGGATCCAGATCCCATAAAGACTGAAGCAGAGGCCGGTCCTGTGCCTGAACACACAGATCAAGAAAAGTCTTCCAAGCCAGCTTCCCCAACTAATGGGGAAACACCACCCTCTATCTTACTGAAGCTTCTCCATACAGTCAACACACCTCAATCCCCAGAACTGGAGATAAAATCAACCGTAAATGCAACAGAAAGGCCTCGGGTGGACACAAAGGCCCTGGATCAAGATATTCAGATGCTCAATAGATCTGGCTGGGGTGACATCTGGAGCCCCATGAATAAAGACAAGAATGTGTATGAGAGTTTGGATACAATGAGAGAACCAGAATCCTCAAAAGCCGAAGATAATGTGACTGTAAACCCTGTCACACCAGATAAGAATATGGTAAGTAATACTTCATGTGCAAAGTAAAGTTACACAATTTCTGTTCTGTTCTCCAAATATTTTTCATTTCATCAGGTCTGTACATGTGTTGTTCTCTCTTGACAAATGGTAAGATATAGTCTGTTCATTCATTGTAAAAATTTTAACGACGACCCTGCATACTTTAGTATGTCCAAGAATATACTAATAATGATTTGGTTCACTTCAAATTTGAACTGCAGTTTAGCTGCTTTCCTCAACCACACGGGGGCGCTGTCTACAAATTAGCATCAGGGCCTACGAAAACAAAACCATAGGAAAGTTATGTCTGTCTTAGGTGTCAAAAAAAAAAAAAGACAAGAAAGAAAAAAATATATATATGATATTAATAATAATTAATTAAAGAAATCTTGGTCAAACTGATAATATAGCTGTAATTGTCAGTTTAGAACTTTGGCTGTCCTTAAAATTTGGTGTATAACCAGTGGCTGCATCAACGATTGATGGATTTAAAACAAAAAAAACTTTATGCTGTATAACAATGTTTACATCAATCAAAGATATTAAGGAGCTAAACAGCAGCTAAATATATTATTGTCCTTTCCACATTTCAGTGTATTAGATCAAATTAAAAAGTAATAAATTATCTGTACAAGAATGGTTGTTTTAATGCCTCTGCAATGTAAGCATCATAAAGTATGTAAATACATTATTGTGGTAAGCCTACTATATACATATTAGGCTAGGGGCATCTTACCCCAAGGGTCTTATTTGGTCTTTTTATTTATATTTCACAAATTTAAATACAGACACAACAACATTTGATATTTAACAGAGCACAATGTTGTATATTTTCTAGTATTTTTCAAACTGAAGAGGGGGGGGGGGGATTTTACCCCATCCCAGCAAACAAAAATGTGTTGTAAGAACGTTTTGCTATCGTTATTGAAACGTTATTTTTCAATATTCTCTGAACGTTCAGTTTTGTTTTGTTTTTTTACCTTTTAAAAGCTATATTTTATATGAACGTTAAGGGAACATTCAATTCTATTCAATTCAAGTTTATCTGTACAGCGCTTTTCACGATACAAATCGTTGCAAAGCAACTTTACAGCAAATTAAGTTTCTACAATATTTAGTGGTAGCTGTCAGTTAATGTACATATGGCAGAGATGTACGGAAAAATCAAACAGACGATGAACACTATTAACAGTAATTTGATCATTTATTATTTTTATCAATATGGAATGTCACTTTTTGGGATCTTACCCTTCTGATGAACATTCGTTATGCTACTTTCCTGGATAGTTGACGCATGTTAGTTTGTAATTTAACTAAGTTTTTAAAGAAATTATCAACGTTTTGAAAGAATTCAAATTAATTTTTGGCGCCCCTAAAACAACTAAACGTACGTTTTGTAATATGCTTGTTACATGTAAACCTATGTAAATGATTAATAAAAAAAAATATCAAACAGACGATGAACACTATTAACAGTAATTTGATCATTTATTATTTTTATCAATATGGAATGTCACTTTTTGGGATCTTACCCTTCTGATGAACATTCGTTATGCTACTTTCCTGGATAGTTCACGCATGTTAGTTTGTAATTTAACTAAGTTTTTAAAGAAATTATCAACGTTTTGAAAGAATTCAAATTAATTTTTGGCGCCCCTAAAACAACTAGACGTACGTTTTGTAATATGCTTGTTACATGTAAACCTATGTAAATGATTAATAAAAAAAAATAGCAGCTTACTAAAGTCCCGTACCGAATCGCACTCTCGAGCGAACTACGGTTGCCATGGTTACAGCCTCACGTAGTCTTGTGTTATCTGAAAAAAAACGGCGTTTGAAACTTTCCTCATTTAGTATGCAAAATTAAAGCAGTTCTTACTGGCCCGGTGTGAATGAAGAGTCAAACAACCCCAAACCCTAATAATTCGCTTTCTAATGTGGACAAAAACGAACTCTGGCATAGCTGTTATAGTTCTACGTTTGAAGAGAACGTATATTTATTGGCGACGTTTCGACCCTGATCAAACGCCCAGTCAGACTGCATTTCTGGAGCTCCCTGCCAAGTGATCTGCATGTCAATGGTTTGCCCCTCACCGGCAAAGAACCGGCTTCTCCATCCGTTTTATCTGCCACACCGGTCGCGAGACGCTCTATAGGCTACGGTGCGTATGGAAAACTTTTATTAGTCTACTAGAGTTAGTACAGAGTTTATAAGTAGCCTACTTCGTTATTTTTGAGAGATTCGAAACGTGCTGCATGGATCTAAACATAAGCCTGCTAATTTGACTGTGTATGGGGGAAGGGGTTTTCAAGCATACTACCAGAGTCAAATGAAGAGCACAACAGGTTAGGTGAGTTGCTGCCGAGTGCCCTAGTGAGTGTGAGTGGCACTGTAGGGAGGTACAGTACCAGGCTTTTGCAACCACTCCCACAAACACACCTGTTTCCCTGCGGAGGGACGATTAAAGCACGTCAGCATTAAAAAAAGATGGATTATAAACAGCGGTTGGAATATCGTTTGCAGCTTTTTGTAATCTAAGCGTTTGGGGACGGAACGGTTTCACCAGTGCAAACACCTGCTGTAAAGCTATGACAGAATGATCCTGAGCTTGCTGTTGGGAGGGATGCGGTGAGCTATCTGACTGATCAAACTTGCGATTTCTACTTACAGAATTTTAAATGCATAAAATGAGTGATATCTTGATAATACGAAAGATAATATCGAGATTACATTAGCACGACCCTGCTTAAAATTGAAATGCATCCAACTTGGATGCAAATCTTCTGTTACGTCTTCTATTATGTTTTATTGTGTATTATGTTAATTTCTTAAAAGTCATTTTAATATTTTTGGGCTTAAACAGAAGGTTCTAGGTGGTGTAACTTTCCTGAGATTATAAGAACGAAAAGTAAATAAATAAATAAATCGCAGAATCAAAATAATAATAATTGGCAGACATTTTTTAATGTATATTTTCTTACTATATAAAAATAAGTGATAAAGTGAATTTTTTATATATCATTTTATTTAAAATATAACTGAAAAAATTCCCAAATCAATGTTTGGACAGTCAAGTTGAGTTTTGAACTTGGAACTTGGTATTATTTATTTTAATAAATAATTCTTGATATTTATGTATGTAAGGATGGATGTGTGTGTGTGTACATACTAGGGATGTAACGGTATGAAAATTTCATATCATGATTATAGTGACCAACGTTATCACGGTTATCAATATTATCACGGTTTTGTTAAAATTAGATGAAAACATTCAAAAAGAACTGATACACACACTGAAAACATTTCAATAAGTTTTATATTTGAAAATCAACAAACAACAAATACAATTAGCAGCTATATGCACTTTTTTTAGCATAAACATTAAATTAACATTAACATGAAGCCCTAATAATAATAATACCCCCTCTGTCGCCTCACGTACCCCAGTTTGGGAACCACTGTTCTACATTAAATATTAAGCTAACAACAGTCTGTTACCTAGCAACAGTGTATGTTAACGTTAGCTCAGTCAACGTAGGCTAACATTAACAGGTGTAGACAGAAAATATGATTATCCTGACCTGAGCTAATTTACTGAATCAACCAACTCACATCTCCTTTCTTTCTTTTTCTTTCTTTCTTTTTATCCATGATGACATTAAAGTAATTTATTGCTGCTTCTGGCGTTTCTTTGCTGACTGTGCCGCAACCGCGATACCTGCTCATTAGAACTTTCAGTGAGCTATCTTTAGAGTGTGCACGCGACGTTCCTGGACGCGTGCGTCTGTGTTGGGGGGGACATGTCCCCCCTGTCCCCAGTGGAAATTACGCCCCTGAGTTTGGTGTTTATTTATTAGTTACAGCACTCAACTAATTGTAAAACAATTTGAAAACATAGATTATAATTTCTAAGAATTTGGCATTTTGAAGTAGCCTATGTTTTTGAGAGTTTTCTCTTTTTTTAATCTAGATATCCTTATTAATTATTGACCCATATATCAAAATTACCATCTGATACATCATTGTGACATTGTATCGCCATGGTACTTCTTTCTAGGCATTTACATCACTCTCTTAAATTAGTGGTCAGTCAGAGTGTAATTTACAAACACAAATGTCATAGAGCCATGAGCCTTCCATGTTGCTACTAAGATAATTGTGCATAAAATGTAATTTTCTTTGCATCTTTCTTAGAAGTTTCCATTTCATCAGGTCTGTACATGTGTTGTCTGCTCTATGGGTGTTTAGTTTGGTGGGATAAGCACCGAGAAACTCTGGAGGCTTGCCAGTGAAGTTCTGGTTTCCATAGCAATGGTGGTTTCAGCAGTGGCATGGCTGAGGTGCCATTCAGTTCGGCGGGCACAATGTGTAGCGCTGGTGTGCAGTCCCGGATATTTAGGTCAGCTTATGCTAATGCATCTCACACGGCGCTGTGCACTGGAAGACCCCAGATCCTAGTGCATGTGCACGACTGGAGCGTCACGCGTGAGTGTGAGCAGCATATGTGGAGTAGTTTAGAGACAGATATTACTTTTGTAAATTAATCCATGTGCAAATATTTGAAAGGTACAGTATATACCCATTGGAGACTGGGTTCCCATACTCTGTGTTTCTTCTCTTAATGATTATCCTAAAACATAGCAAAAGCTCTGTTCAAACTCTACTCAGCTCTGTTCAAACTCTACTCAGCTCTGTTCAAACTCTATTTTTGCAACTGTAATACTTGTGCAATTACAACATTTTCAAAGTGTTACAAAATAACTATTAAATAGATAAAAACAATTTCAGCAGAGCAAAAGGTCACCAATTAACTGTTAACTATTGTCTGTGTCTGCGCCTGTAGTGTTTATATCGTTGTGGCTGTTGCTCTGTGCTGATGTGCTCATTAATGTCTTTGCGCTTCCTTTAGTAATTAGGACAGCACTTTATAGGTGGGGAGTTTAATTTTAGCACAGTGGTACACTGATGCAATTTTCCACAACATTTACTAATGTGAACG